CATTTAATGGAAGCTGAATAGAGGGCTTCCAAACAGAAAACATTTAAACTCATAAAATTCCTGAGTGACAAATAGCTCAAATTTGGAAGACAACCCATGGAAAATATCATACATGCCTGACCTATTCTTGTGCTCTTTCATTGTGACAGAGAGATACTCCAGATATGTCCACAAAATGTTTACTCCATTACATGTTTCAGAAGGCTTTCCTCCAAGAGAGGAAACCAGCCTCACCTGATTGGCCATGGGAGAACTGTCTAAAAAGTCTTCCTACTGCCTTAAGGTCTACAGTGAGCAAGCAATCTAATTGGAGAAATCTCTAAATAATTTTAACTATTTTGTCAGCTTTCACAGAGCAAAAATCATAACTGTTCTTGCAATTGGAAATGGAGGATTTTTCCTTATCCCAAACCTACCAGTTAAAATTGATGTGCAAAAGATACTTCACCCATGTCCTCAAAAATCATTACCCCACCCCTCAAAGAAAAAAATTAGGGGAAAAAACAAAAATCATACAACTCGAAAAAATCACACAAAATGCTTAAATCTTGACCTACATGCAAATACCATATTCCTGTATTTTTATGCTAATTGCCCAAACTCCTTCAGTTAATTTTAAACTTTTTCAGTGTCTTCTTCCTCTTACATAAACCTGAAGTTATCCTATTTGTCCCATACCTCTGCATCAGTTGACAATCACCATTCTCCTTGAATTACTGTCCCGTCTCAACAACCAGGTACGTATCTACTTCTGTTCATCTGCACAAGCACTGTCTTATGTCCCTTTTTTGACTCTGCATGCACATTCAATCATACAATTTGGAAAAAAAAAATCCTAATCCGCACCACAACTAAGAATGCTCAAGGCTGTGTTCCCTGTTGGCTCCATGCATTCTCTCAGAAATCTCATCAGTAAATATCAATTACTTCCATTCAAGACTACCTCCCTTCCACCAAAACCAAATCTTAGCATATAACATAATTTGTCAGACTTCTGGCAACCAGCAGGAGATCAGAGTTTTTATACTTTCCTTCCACCTCCAAAAGCTCTCCCTTAATTAGCAGATTTGTTACTAGGCACACCACAGACGTTTAGATTCCTATCCCAAACAAGCTGGAAACTAGTATTTCCCAAAATTCTGCCACTGCTTGGATAAGCCTCATCAACTTGTTCTACAAAACAGTTTTTCATCTCAGGTAGACTTGCACCATCTTCTATTTTTATGACTTCAGCATCCTTCTCTCTGGCCTAGAACAAAATGAACAAACCCACCTGCAGACTTGTCTGAGCGACATTTGTGTGGAATGCTTCTCCAAAGGATGTGTGACTTGCCAGCTGAACAAAGCCAATAAGAAAAGAAGTACACATGTTTCTCTCTCTGAATTATAGGGGATAAAATTACCCCAGTACAGAGAAGGAAAAACAATCTGTTGTTTCTTCAAGGAGGTTGTTCACAGAAAGAAACTTCTCTTCATCCCTTTCCAGGACCAGGAAAAGGAAAACAATCTTTTATTTCTGACACTACTTATTCATTGATTCTTCCCCTCCAGCTAACCAAGCCAACTGTTTGGTTTTGCTTTAAAAAAAAGTTACTTTTGAACCCTGTCCTGTAGCCAGCTGCATCAAAATGCTGACTTCAAATGATCAGCAGCAGTAGGCTCTGACACAGACCTGTCAGGCTTTCAAACAAGCACCTTCACACCTTAGGAAAGGGTTTGTCCAACCTCTGCCTTATCATGACACACAAAGAAACTTCCCCTCAGCACCACAATTATTTACACTGAACACCATGGTCTCATTTCTTTGTACTCCACCAGTTTCCTTAAACTATATTTTGAACTGGAGTCAGCTCCAACAGATGTATTTGCTTGATCCTACACAAACAATAACACGTAGAGAACTCTCAACTAACAAGGCAGCTGCTAGTCAAAAATGTAAGATATGCAAGCAACTCCCCCCCATTTCCTGCATTTTTAGCAGCTCTAAACAAATAGCAGAAAGCTGTTGTAGTACTTGGGGCTACTTCAGAGTGATCAAAGAAAAATAACAAGGTTGGCTCTCCATTACCTACTCAATTCCATTCACTTTAAGTCAGTTTAAGAAATGTCATGGCATTCCCAGACAAAAATAGAGTCCTTAGGATTTGACAACATTTCTCCCCTCCTGAACTGAATTAGAAATAGAGACTGAAATTATTGTTATGATATTAACAAGATTTTCTTTCAGAAGTAGATATTAATTGAAAGCAATTTAGGTTGAGGTGGGGAGGAGACTGCTGTGACACTGCAACTTTTAACACTATCTCTCCCAGCCACCTGCTCAATTGTAGAACACATGAGCCTTGCTTTAACAGCCATATGAAATGGGAACTAGGGCAAGGGGAAGGCTCTAATGGCAGGTACCACATATTTTCACAAGGAAGCTCGTTCCTGCTTCAACCCATCACAAGCCAACCTGTATACCTTAGCATCCTGAACTAACATCCCAGCTACATAAGCAAATGACTGTTAATGGGCACAAGGAGACACAACCAGTCTGCTTTAAAAGCCAAAGGTTATAAAGGAACACAAACATGTGCAACACTTCTCAATCCACTGAGAGAATAAAGGAAGCAGTCTCAGTGTTCACTGAAAAATGTTGGATGCTTTTTTAGGTTAGTAACCCATCCTTTGACTGCTGGCTATTAAAACTGCACTGTGGATCACAGAATCTTATATTGTGGCACCCAGAACTGCACACAGTTCTCAAGGTGGGGCCACACTTGAGTAGAGGAGGAGAATCACCTCTTCCAACTAATTAGTGATGCTGTGCTTGATGCACCCTAGGATTCAGTAAGCTGCTGCAGTTCCTTCTGGATTGTGATTACTCCTGGCATTTCCTTAGTTTCCAACAGATACATGTAGGATCAATAAATACTGAAAACAAAGGAATTACATTAAGAGTCGCCATACAAGAAATTCCTGACTTTCTCAATAAAACGTTCACTGGTTCAAGTTTCAGAGAAATGAACTTCAGCTAACAAGGCCAATAACCCCTACACTCAAGAACTTCTACAAGTACCATTTCTCAACTCTAAACCAGAGATACTCTACTAGTATATATACAAAAAGAAAATAAGAAAACAAAGTTCAACTTAGTAACACAACTTGATCCAAGCTGTGTGTAAAACTGAAAAAAAAAGAACCAAAGCTGGAAACTAGCTGCAGAACTGGACCTGGAAGGCAAATAGCGTTAATCCTTCACTAGAAAGCTGGGGACAGAAGCAAGAGCCTCTCCCTGACTACACCCAAGTTAAACCACGTTTGCCTCCCATAACCCAGAAAGAGCATCTAGTTGCTGCTAGCATCCTAGCATCCAGGATTGAGGAGGAGATAAAAAGGGAGAGACAAAGAAGCAGAACAAGAGTATTGCAGATGAGGGGGAAGAATAAGAGTAGAATTACACTATGTGGGTCAGAGGACAGGAGAACACATGGGAGAGACAAAATAGGTAATGCACAGACAGTGCAGGAAGTGATGTGCTGTGATCCTCTACAGCAAAGAAACAAAACCAACTTATGAGCCCCGTGAGAAGGGCTGCAAATAGCCAGACAGGGTGGGACAGAACATATGAAGAAACCAGACTTCCTCCAAAATCCAGGACTTTCTCTCCAGACTTCACTCTGTGGGTAGACCTGTGTGCTTAGACTTTCCTCAACAGGCAGACAACAGAATCACCTGGCTTTACACTGCACATTCTGCACAGTGGTCACAGGCTATATTAAACTCTCACTCTCTAAGTCAAAACCCAAATATTACTTTCCATCTTCAGCAATATCTTGAACAATTAAGCAATACAAAAAAAAAAAAAGTCAGGTGAAAACAACTGCCCTCCAATGTTGTTCTCACCTCAAGTCTTTTACTCAGTGAGGCGGGGAAAGGATGAAAGGAAAGTGGTAGGGAAAGGGTGAGTACATGGTCCAACACCCAGAACTACTCAGTTGATGTTTTCTTCTTTTTACCAGCAACTCAAATTCAACAGATAGTAACAATCCAGAGATAGCTGACACCTGACTTGACTGCTGTAAAATGTCCTGGTTTGACATGGACAATTCTTGTCCATTCATTTCCCACCTTCTCTGGAAACACTGCTCCCCTGCTAAATTTGGATTATGTACCACCTTGCAAAACAGAGCCTAAACTATGGCTTATCAATAATTTCGTGTACGACAGTTTGGAGTGCATTGTTCTAAAGGACATATCAAGGCTCTTCAGTTGGCAGCTCTTAACGGATCAAAAAAATCCCTTCTCTAGCAGCAAAAAGTGAACTACTCTTCCATGACATCAGAAATCACTGTAATACTGATAAACACCAGGTTTCAAGCAGTTTGTGGGCAACACTTCTTGAGCCCTCTAATTGCATCTATGTCCCTCCCTTAATCAGTTCACTACACAAGACCTGAAAAGATCACCATGGTCTCCACACAAATGCTCACCACCGTGAGTAGGCAGGAAAAAATAGAAGAAAAAAAACCCAAGAAATTCTGCATAGCCTAAGCTGCAAGAGGCTGGTTCTTGCTCTAAAGAATTCAATACTTCTAGTAACTCTGATAATACAGAAAATACTTCCTCCATCTTGTCCTGTTAAACTAATCAATAGTTTTGTATAAGACAAGAAATAGAGCTTATTGCCCCTTTATAACTACTGTAAAATGGTAAAATACTATTTATCAAATAAAACTGACTTGAGAACATCCTTCTTGAGGTATCTTCATAGTTACAAAACTCCTGAAAGTTCTGTATTCTATATTATTGCTATAATGAACTTTTTTGAGTTAATCCTGTCAAAAACATTCAACAGATCAAAACAACGGAGTGCAGCAGAGCACTGTGATCATGACACTTCTGACCTCCACCCTCCACCCAGGTATATTTCAGCTCTGAAATTAACTTTTGTATACAGAGGGAGAGAGACACAGGAAATATTGAGGTTACAAGTATGTGAATAGAAACTGACTCACCACAGTCCTTTGCTTGTTGGGCAGGAAGACTCTAACAATGGGCTTCTGTGGAGACTTAGGGTTATTCCGTGACATATCAGCAGGGTTTTGATACACTGAAAGGGATGAAGGTGCTACAGAGAGGCTAGAGGAGGAAGATGATGCAACTGTGTCTGTTGAAGCTGAACTGGAGACAGAGAAATCAGTTCCATTCCCCATGGATTCCAGTAACTGCTGTTCTCTCTGCTGTAGAGCATCAAGCTTGCTGGTGTACTCTTCATAGGCCTGTGAAGGAACAGCAGCTGCTTTAATCATGCAGTAGCCTCAGACAAAACCAGAAATATAAATTCTGATGAAACGTGAAACAAAACACTTCCTAAACAAATATAAATTTCCAAAGAATATGAAGAAAGTGGTCAGGTCAAATTTTCAGCATACAATGAAAAACATCATATTAAACCTTCTGAACCAACAAGTAATATTTTAACATATTAAATGAAGAAAAGGATAGAAGAAATCCTAAGTTACTGTTTCAAAGCACCTGTACTGAAGATTCTAATTCACAACCACTTAAAAAAAGACAGAAGTCTTTAACCAATATTGTCAGCTGCAATGCTGAATTACTGAGCTCCAGAATCATTCTGTTAGAATGACAGTTAAATACTTCTAATGCAATAATTAAGAGAAAGCTCAAACCTGCTTCTTATGACCTGTATCTGATTCCTCACTGTTCACTATCCTTCACCTCAGGCACTATCCTTTCATAACAAAGTACAAAAAATGTTTTTCTGTTAGAAGACAACAAAGTTTGCCCATCTCAAAGCCATCCATAAACATATAAAAGTGATACTTGGAAAGTTTTTTAACATCTTTTCAGCATGTTTACACAAAACCCACTTACACAGATCAAGTTTCTTAAGCAAACAAAAACACCAATAATATTAAATTTGCCCGTTAAGTCTTTATGAAATGTAGTTAAACTAAACATTACTGCCAAGGTCTATAAAACACATATATAATCGGTATATATTTTTCTTTAAAGTTTGTTATGCACAACTTTGCAACAAGAAAATTTTGATTGATATAAAATACTAGAACCATTTCTTCTATAAATTAGCAGAATATCGTCAAAAACCATTTGCAACAAGAAAATTTTGATTGATATAAAATACTAGAACCATTTCTTCAGTATATAAATTAGCAGAATATCGTCAAAAACCTGAATCAGTTAAGCAACATGTGTTTCACACTACAGAAGCATGTCGGTGTTAACTGACACATTTAGACCTTGTTTAGACCTCTACAGAAAAGAATAAACAAAGATCTTCCAAACCTGACATGTAAGCAGTAGGGAATAGAATTTCCTACTTTTCTCTATAGCAAGAGCAAGATCCATACCAACATGCATAGATTCTTCAGTGATATTTTCCAGTACATTTACACAAAAGAAAAATACTTTCTGGTTCTGGGTTTTTGGGTTTTTTTAATCACTTATTTTACTTGCTTTCCTATTTTTTTGTTTGTAACTGTTGCTAATTAAAGTTACAGGAGAACTGAACTGACCAAATAGTCTGCAGCAACTAAATGTGGAAAAAGATAAATAAGGAGAAAAAACAACCAACATTTAGTAGTGCAGCCACAAGTACTATGTTTTATTAGGAATTTATTTCTTCAGGTTATATGTGCAGGCTCACCTAATCCAAACTGCTCTTGCTGTGTAAACAGTGGTTCATCCCTCCCTTTTTAAGAAAGCTTCTCATCCTCCCAGGATGGAGGTGAACATCACAGTTGCAAATTCTAAATGTTATGGGTTCCACTTCTGATAAACATATGTTAGTTGCAAGAAACTGAGAATTATTTAATATTTCTTTTAAAAACTGAAGATGTCTAGCATTTCACAAATAGACTCTCAACTCTGAGACTTAAAGCCAAAACATCTTCACTCTAACCCAACTGTATTGTCAAAAGTAAATTGAAAGATTACCCAACCATAAATAATGGCATTTTTTGGCTGTACAATAACACATGTGCCTCTCCTACTTCCAGGATCAACTTTGTATGGAAACTTGAGTAAAAGCTTCATGTGTCAAGAATTATTTTCAGTAAACAAAAATTAGGAAACATAAACTGTTACCATTTCACCAATACTGTTCTAAATACTTACTTCCCTTTCTCATGAACATTGCAAAATATTATTCAAACACAGACAACATTACATTGCTTCCGGACACTCGTGGGTTTAGTTCCTTCACAAAATTACACACAACTTTCAAAATACTCAATCCTACAATGTTTACATTGGCAGCTTAATCTGTCACTAATGCAAACCAAAGTCAAATGATTTATCTTAAGAGAATAAACAATGAGTATGGAAGGCTGGGGACTGCAGCTGGCTTTGGGTTCTATACCACTGATTTCTGCAAAAAGCTCTGTATTTTTTCTGAGAACAAAAGCTCTCAAGTACCACACAGTTATTCGGTGTCATAGCAGAAGGCCCCACAGTAAAACATAAAGGAACTAGAAATGCATTGCTACACTTTAAAAACATTTTTTTCTTTTAAAAAAATTCTTCTTCTACAAAAGGGGCTACAGTACATGCAGAAACAGAATATCTCCAATAAATTTCATTTCACAAAGGTTAAGTACTTAGGGGAAACAAAGTTTCATCTGATGATTAACACAAATAGACCTTACAAAGACAACAGCACCAAGTCTAGACAGAATTATTCTACAGAGTTAAATTCAAAGATAGTTACATCAGCAAAGCTGACCTATAGCAGGTATTTCCAGCTGAAAGAAAGATCATGTTGCAGCTTTGCCTATCAGCCACTAAACTGACCTGCAGCAGCACAGTCACTTTAGCAGACAAGCATCCACAGCTACACAAACCTTCAAGTCTGTCAAAGGTCACTGTGTCAACTATGAGGTTGGTTTCTGACCATGTTTTTGAAAAAAACAAACAAAAAAGATTAAGTCTGTAAGGAATCAATAACATGAAAAATATTAAGACGAAGATTCAAACAGATCATTAAATCAAGGAAGGATTCAAACAGATCATTAATTCAAGTCTGTCAAAGGTCACTGTGTCAACTATGAGGTTGGTTTCTGACCATGTTTTTGAAAAAAACAAACAAAAAGGATTAAGTCTGTAAGGAATCAATAACATGAAAAATATTAAGACGAAGATTCAAACAGATCATTAAATCAAGGATTCTAAAGGCATTTCAGAAGGAAGAGTACAGGAAATCTAGACTGCAATCCAATCAATTTCCATATTCCCATTAAGTGAGTTATGTTCTACATAAAACTTAAATCTTGCTTGATACAGAACAAGAAGAGAGAAAAAAGGGTAAGAAGATATCTGCAGAAGTGATCTAGTCTTAACACATATTTAGCACAGAAATAATTTTCAAGTTCAATGAGGTTGCTCAGGGCCTTGCCAAAGCAAGCTTTGCAAGTTTTGGAAAGATGAAGAGCCCACAACCTCTGGGCAGCCAGTTCCAGAGCTCAAACCCCACACTCACGATGAAGAATTGTCTCTTCTGAAATGAACTGGATGCTCACTATCTGCAACACTGCCCCTTCCCCGTTTGCTGTGCAGGTCTGGGAAGAGTCCGAGTCTCTCTTTATGTTGAAAGAGCCTGCAGATTTCTCCTGAAGCTTCTCTTCCCCGTGCTGAACACCACCCCAAAGCAGCCACACAATTAATGACCGGATGGGTGCCTCCTCATTTGCTGCTGCAGCCCAGTGTGCAGTTTGCTGCTGGTGGTATGAGCGTGGGTCACTGACAGCTCAGACTGCTCCCAACTTGGTGCGAATTTACAAAGTTTAGTTTCACAAAGTATATATTTGAAAAGTTGAACATTAGATTAAAATCTGCACAACTTGTCTATCTACATATAATCCTATGCTATCAAAAACAGAAAAGTGAATTTTAATTATATTGCATATCAGTATATTTTCACATCATATAATAGTCTCACATGTGTGAGAACACCCCTGATACTTCAACTAAGTAAAATGCAACATGGCCTGATAAGCTGCAAAGTCCAACTAAAGCATTACAAGATGGCATGTTTATATTCAATGTGCACACATGCCAAAACACAACTGCTCTCTTATTCTGCTGTATATATCTGCAGTTTTAACTGTATATACTCAGGAGCAGCAGCCTTAATGTTACTTCTTAAAAGTTTCAACTTACTGATAAAATAAAAACTGACTTCAGAATTCAACAGAATCTGAGAGATGTTACGCAGATGTGCCAAAAGAGTTCTGTTCATGAGGACAAAGGATTTTCTCAAAAATATGCATTTCTTTTTTTACATATAATTTATATTATATTTGAAATTTGTTTTCTTGGGCCATGACTAGGCTATACATTCTAGTGAAATCATTGAAGGAAATAAAAAGCAACTAACCAATTTTTCTTTTAAATTAATCTGTGAGAAACCAAGCGGCAAGATATGATTTCTTCTTCTCTCTGCCCCCTACTACATCTGGGTAAAACACCAGTCCAAACTCAAGCAGGTAACTGTTTTTGCCATGCCCTCTCTCTTCCTCAATCAAGTTTAGGCAATATACACATATCGCAAGACTCAAAATCCTAGTAGACTACAGGTTCCTGGTCTTTGAAACTGAGATTGTGTTTCTATTTAAAAGATTTTTGACCTTTTAGGCTGTTGATCAAACGCAAATCCCACTAAGTTAAATGGGAGCTGAAGATAGACAGTAATGTACGTCAACGATTTCTTCATTTAGTAAGACTCCTAAATCTGTACTTAGTCTAACTTTAGACACTCCAGATTTGGTCCAACATATTTGAACAGCATCTGTTAGGAGCCTGGTAAAAGCCAATCTGAAATTCCCCAGAGGGCCACCAGGTTTCCCAGTGTCTATATGCAGTGTTAGAGTTTTCCTGGAATCCCACAGTCTGGAACAACCTGAGATTCATCACCAAGATCTATTTTAGACTGTATCTGCATGCTGTTGCAATAAGCATACTTCAGATCAGCAAAGATGTAATGTTCTTTAATAAACTAATTTGACCTCCTGCATGGATTCTTCAGATATACAGGAATAAGAAATTAAATGCTCTCCTGATGTTCAATAATCAAACTCTCAGTTCTGAGAACAGCAATGCCCCTGAACAAAACACATTCAGGCAAAGAGAAAGCCAAGAAAAAAATAAAAATCACAGTAGCTGGGGGCAAACATACCTCTACCCCCACAATTCTCATTTTAAATTGCTTCCAAGAGTAGGAGTAAGAAAGAGAATGATTCCT